AGTGTGACAAAGCAGTGAGAAGGCCCTCAGCAGAGCAGCCCTGGGTTGTGGACTTCCTAGCCTCCAGAACCTTGGGAAAATTAATTTCTGTTCTTTACAAATTACCCAGTCTGTGGTATAGTTACATATGCACAGAATGGCTGGAGACACCTCGTTCATCCCGACTACTACAAAATCTTTTCTGGAGATGCACTATTTTGATTAACTTGTTTAATAAAAAACTGAGAAAAGGGAGGCAGCACTGTGAGTCTAGAATACAAGATGGCCTTGGGCACCAGACTCCAGGCTCCTTTTGTTACAGAAATGTGTTTGAGCACGCAATGGACAGGAGCCTCCTCAATCTCAAGAGCGAAGTCTCCTCCTGGAATGGTTTAAAGGTCTTCAGCTACAGGGAATGAATAAATATCCAACCACCAGATGCAATACTTCTGGGTAAAGTATGTGTTTTCTTCTTTTAGTTTCTGAAAGTAAGAGATTTCCTTTATAAATAACTGGTTGAAACCCAAATACATTCAATTTGACTTACATCTCTTACTCCAGTAGCAGCATTAAAGCGTTCACATGTCTGGCTCACACAGAAATAATGATTTGGAAATACCATTTCGGGTTTGCACACATATCTTAGCTTATATCTTTAACAAAGATGTATTTTAAGGGTGATTTTGTGTATTTGCCCACCATTTGGACTGACTGTAATTAGGCTGCTGTGTATTTGTATGTGGGGTATACTTGCATTTAAAAACAGTTACGTGCCCTTCATCCTAGCCCAAGTAATTACTACCTACAACATTTTATAGGGCTTTTATTAGCGAATGCTTACCGGAAGTCTCACTTTGCCTTTGCCTTTAAGTTATGTCCTTTTATAGCACGATGTAAATTTTATTAGAACCTTAGTATTTGTTTTTAAGATACTTTTCACCATTGTTAAAATATATTTTCCCTTAAGATTTAATTGTTTTGGACAGAGGTGGGTAATAGAGCAATACATGCTCACACCAGAAAATGTTTCCCTCTTTTAAAAAAGAAAAGAAAGAACAACAGAGAAGAGAAAGTAAAATTCCCACTGCTGCTCACCCACGTCTGTCACCCCGGCGCGGCGCGATTTGCACAAATCGCGCTTCCTGCTTCTCCGCCTCTCCCTCAGGCTCCTGCAGCGAGCTTCGCAGGCTTCCTGGCACAGCGCCCCCCTCGCCGCCGAGCGGCACTGCAGGCAGGGCGCCGGACTCGCCTCCCATCCGTGCCCTGCGCCTCCCTAGACTTGCACTTCGGGCCACTGTCAGGTAAAATGAGGGCTCCTGGCAGGCGAGGTGCCTGCAAGTGACCGACCTCGGGCGGGGATTTCCTGGACCAGGGATGATGCTCGCCCGCGTGAGTCACCCCTGACACCGCTGCACCCCGCTCTCGGGACGCAGGCAGTTGAAAGTTACCAAGTGTTGGCTTCCGGGGCTTTCCACTTCTTATTTTCAGACCGTGGTTGGCTACGGATAGAAAGTGAACCGGCGAAGGGAGACTACTGTACTCCAACATCTGCCTGTATTATAATTTTTTTTTTTTAGACAGAGTCTCACTATGTAGCCCAGGCTGGCCTCGAACTCGGCGATCCTCCTACCTCAGCCTCCCGAATGCTGGGATCACAGGCGTGCGCCACCACGTAAACATCTCTCCTACCGGTCACTGTTTCAAACCCCGTAAGGACCATGCTGTTTATCACGTGTAGTAGAATAATGACCCTTTCCCGGCGGCCCTTGCTGGAAACCTGGACGCTGTGAATGAGGACTTTGTATAAGGCGAGGTGACGGAGCTGAGCGCCTGGGGGGAGTGGGGGGGGGGTGCTGGGTGGACCACACCGGGCAGACAGGCTGCAGAGCCGCAGTGCAGGCCGCTGGGACCAAGGGCGGGCGGCCCAGCCGAGGGACGGGCGGCCTCCTGCACGCTGGGAAAGGCAGGGAAGGACCGCGGGTCCGGCCACCCCTCCCGAAGCCTTCCTTCCCCTGAGATCCAGGTGGAATTCTGACCTACAAAACTGCGAGGCCACACACGTGTGTTCCACAGCCGCTGTGTTCAGTGGGAATTTTTAATGGCAGTAATAGAAAACTAAAAACTATCGTCGAAAACTTCGGTCGTTCTTAAAATCAAAACCCTTTATTTCTGGCAGAACTGCCTCTTGTCCATTATAAATAAGTCTTTGACCACATACAGCTTCAAAATATATATTTTAGAAAGTAGAAACACATAGCCCGCACCTCGTACACACGTTTCTCCAAAAGCTATATAACTCAGAACAAAAACAGAGAACAAATCAAACTCAGTACCTCAGTCAAAAGAAGTATTCAAATCAGATTTATACACTATTTCCTACGAAGAAAACAAAAGCAAACTAAAAAACCAAGAGGGTAAGAAAAGGCTTGATCTTAATGAGGGTCTGATAAGATTTAGAAGAATTAATGAAATTCTACAAGAAGTATACTTAGAGACCACCAATATACATTATTTTTTACTTTCCAGTAAGTATTCAAGTCTGCTTGTCATTTCTTATAATCTGGAAATACTAAAGTAAGAAAAGTGATTAACTGCATTTAGGTTAATGACTTCCCTAGTTAAAAGCACTCCACAAAAGTACAGTTAGTTAGAAATAGCTGGAGGGAAAAAATTGTTTTTCTAGTTGGAGAATATTTTATTTATTGCAGTGTTATCTTGGTCTGTTTTTCCTGTGCACAACACAAACAGAGCATGACCACAGGAAGAGCCTGCGTACAGAGCTGACCAGACTTTGCCTCTGGTGACCTGAGTCACTAGAGGGCAATATATACTGCGCCTTCAGTAACCACATGGAGGAATGGTTTGAAGGTTCAGGCAGTGAAAGCAGAGAACAAACTGGTGGAAATCAGAAAGAACAGCTACACTATAGTTCCTGCTAAAGCATTAGTTAATTTGCTGAACTGTTTGACTCCGTCACTAAGCAGCAGTGACTCATTTGTACTTGTACTTGACACAGCGATGACCTGTAGGGAAACCTACTCAGTAAAGTCTCACCTGGGCAGCGTCGGGGACGGAACCCAAGTCTGAGCGGCCACTTTCTAATCTGTCAAGCACATTCAGCAGTTAAACAAGGGGCATAGGTTGGCTTTGTTCTCTGTGTTGTATTTCACGGACTCATCTTGTAATTACTCAGGTTTAGAAAACGTGAAGGAAGCTTCTAAATGAGGAAGAAGTCAATAATTCACTCTCTCTCCAACCAGAATTAAGGGAAAAGAAAACAACAGCTTAGAAGTTGCAGTTCTGATTTTTATACTTAATAGTATATTTTTTAAAACTTTTTTTTCAAAGGCTGAGGATCTGGCTGAGTGGTAGAGCACTCGCCAAGCTATGTGTGAGGCTCTTGAGTTGGATCCCCAGCCCTGAAAAAATATTTTTAATACCTCAACATTGTATGTTTCAATTATAAAATGTATAAATCCACTTAGAGAGAAAATTGTTACAATAATGAGGGAATGAAAAGGAAAGAAAACGGATACCTCTTTCTGTGCACAACTTTTACTGCATTCCTTATAATTCAACTTGAGTTTTTAAGATATCCATTACACACAGCCAAGCAGTTGAGCATCCTATCAGCAGTGTAGAAAAGTGCCTGCCTCACTTGCCTGCACCAACCCTGAGACTTGATTTCATGTTCACCCTGTTGTACCATCTTCTTTCATTTAAGATAACGGTAGTGATCATACTGAGCAGTAAGTGCAACTGATTCGGGGTTTACTACGTGCCAAGCACTATCCAGACACCAACCCACTTGATCCTCAAATCCCCTGAGCTGTGTTTCCATCGTGATTCCCCGACAGAACAAACTGAGGCATGGAGTCACATACCTGGTGGCACTGGAGTTAAAGTGTGGGAAGACTGCTCCCAGAGGCTACGCTCTCATGGGTCCTCCTCTGAAATAGGCTGGAAGCCAGGTTCGGTTTTCTCCTTCACCTCTTTCATTACTGGGGTGATGCTCAGGTCTCCCCAGGACTGGCCTCATCCAGTGTGTGCTGCTTGTCAAGTGGAGACCTATCTATACACCAAGGAGGGTGCGGTGTGAAAGTTCACTTGGTATGTAAAAACCGTGGTATCACTGCCTCCCCAGAACTTCAGACATTGGAGGCTTGGTCACAGGGTGGTGCTATGGGGGGGGACCTTCAGGAGGAGCGGCCTGAGGGAGGAAGTTAGGTCACTGGGGTGCACCCTCAGGAAGCAGTTCTCCCAAGAGGGTTGTTTTTTTGTTTGGTTGGGTTTTGTTGTTGTTGTTGTTGAGACAGAGTCTCCCTTTGCAGTTCAGGCTGGCCCTGAACTCAATATGTAGCCAGGCTGGTCTTGAACTCTTTGGTGATCCTACTGCCTCAGCCTCCCAAGTGCTGGGATTACACGCAGGGGCCACCACGCCCCGCTCATCCAAGAGGGTTGTTATAAAAAGAGCAAAGCTGGCTCCTCCCAGCTGTCTCTGCTTTCTCGCCCAAACACATCCCCAACATCACTACTGGCCCTGAGGAGAGGCCAAGGGGCTGCCCTGCCACAAAGCCTGCCTTATGCTGTTTGGACTTTAAACCTTTAGAATGGAGAGCGAAATAAACCTCTTTCTTCATAAGTAGCCTGTGTCAGCTATTTCCTTATAGTGGTGAAAGCCCAATGCAGTGCTTTAACTGCCATGTGATTCTAACCCCCAGGCTCACCCCTGCACAAACCTTTCCTCAGATTTTATCAAAAGTTCTACAACAGTCTTGACAACGGGGGTAGGCTGTACTCATTCTGATGTTGTCACAGACACACCCTCCTAACAGTAGCCTAAAAAATTTCTCTTTCACTTCACCACGGGGGGGGGGGGGCCACGGGGCTGCAATGGCAGGGACGCGCATGGCGTGACAGGCGCAGCTCCTGGCGTCTTCCTGTTCCTCTCTCCTTTACGGCAGCAGTCGGCAAGCTTTCATCAGAGGCCAGAGAGGACGTCAAGGGCTACGTCTGTCACAGCTCTCCCTGCAGGTACACGAAGAGGAATGACTGTGTGCCAAGACATTTTGTTTGCAAACAGGCTGAGGACTATACTATTCACAACAGCCCAGGACCCAACCGAGCGTCCACTGGCGGATAACAGAGATGCGCTGTAAAACAACGGAAGAGTAGCCAGCCGCATAAAGGAGCGGAGCGTGGCCTTGGCGTGGTCACAAGCCCAGCACGGAAAGACAGAGCACGCGGTCTACTTACATGAGGAGGCTAAAAGTTGATGCCACCCAGCGGTAAGCACAGGGGTGTGTGGCGGGCCAGGGAGGGGGTGCACGCGCACGAGCGCTGCTGGGCAGGATAACTCTAATTCACCGATTACGCCAGTGCCTTGACCTGATCGTCACACGCTGTTCACACGCGCTGCTCAGACGCAATACTGAGCCCTTGAAATACTCCGATTCTGTTGGTTAAAAATTCGTAAACTATAATTTTCAAAAGAGGAAATAGGCCACAGGCGTGATCTGCTGATTCCTGTCCTACAGCGGCGCTTCCTAAGCTCTGCCGCGCGTTCAGCCCCACCGAGGAGCGAGCCGGTGAGCGCACGGCCCGGGGCTCAGCGCCGCCCCAAGGCCCCGAACCCACGACAGAGCAGGGACCGGCGGGGTCGCACGCACCCCGGGCGCGACGTCACTTCCGCGCAGGTGCGGCACGCCACGCCCGGGCGGGGCGGGCGCGCGTCGGTCTGCGGCTGCGCAGTACGCGGTGGGCGCCCTCCCTTCCCGCCCGCCGTCGGTCCACAACAGTCCCGCGCGCCGCAGCCTCCCGGCTCCCGCCGTTCACGTGCGGCGTCCCTGCCCCGTCCTTAGCCAGCTGGGCGGCCTTGGCCGCGGGCCCCGCCTCCCCACGCGCGCTGCTCACCTGGGTCTGCGCACCTGGAGCCCTCGCTCAGCCGTCTCACGCGGGCCTCGCACCGGCCCATGCCCGCTGCTGTTCGCGCAGCCCTGGGCCCACGGGCAGGGCAGAGCAGCCGCGGGTTGGAAGTCTTCCTGTCGGCCCACTTCCCGACCGAGCCCTGCCGCGCGCTCCGCTCCCAGTGCAGACTTAACCGGGCAACTCGCGGGAATCGCTGCGTAGCCACCCACTGCGCTTTGAGTATAGCCCAGCCTCTGGCGGCCTCTGACTTCCTTCCGTTGCGGCCCCAGCACACTGGCTGCCTGCCTCAGGGCCTTTGCTCCTGCTTTTCCCCAACTAGAAGGCTGTACCCACGGATCTTGGCCCACCTACTCTTCCCTGGGTTCGTTTGGACCCCCACCCCACCACCGGTTAATTGCACTGACAGCTCTTGCCAGCACCAAAGTCTGTGTTTTCTTCACTGTCCAGCTTCTGTAATGTGACAACACGGGACCTCGGCTGTCTCATTCTGTGCTGTACCTGTGACCCCAAGGACAGCTCCTAGCCCCAAGGAAATATTTAAGTGCAGGAGAACTTCCAGTTCCCCCATCATTTATTTTAGTCCATGGGCCAAGGACAATCCAATCAAAGTGAACATTTTTACTTTCTTTTATATAGACAATAAAAACGTAGTGTGGTTTTCCTGGGGGGATAATGAAAGCAGAGAAGTTTAAGACCAGTAGTTCAGAGGCAGAACTTGTATCTAATATACTCTCCCTAGTGGGGAAGTTTTCAGTTTGATCCTGGAAATAGTTTGGAGATCTTTTTCCATCAACCTAAATTATTTTTATTGTGATAAAAAATAATTTTTAAAAATAGCATTTTAACTCAAGTGGCACTGAACACGTTGGCATTGTGTACGTCCCCCACCTCCGGGACTTAGCCCAAGGTGTCTCCGGCCTGGCGCACTCCTGGCCGCCTCCTCAGCCTCAGCAGCGTGGCCCTGCTTTGTCTCTATCAGTGTGGCCCCTGCGGACTCACACAGCATTTATCTGGCTGGTTCTCCTGCCCGCGTCCCCACTCAACATGGCAGAAGGAATTAAACCCCAAGCAAGCACATGCAGCATTCTATTCAAAACTCATCCTACTCGAATATGCATTAGAGACAAAACTAAATGTAAAAATACAGCATTTTTATTAAAAGTTGAAAGTGTTGACCAAGTGCACACATGATGAGTAGAAGATTCCACCACAGTGAGGACTGAAAGCCCAGGACAAGCAGATACAAGCTGGTCCGGCAAGCGTGCGCCAGCTGCCTTGCCCCTTGGCATCCTCCTGCATGCCGGGAGGCCCGAGCAACTCCAGCACAAGGCCGCCTGCTGGCTCTGCCCATTTCTGGCCCGGTGGAGGCCGGGAACCACGGGGCCCTGTCTGTACCCAGGACTATCGAGCAGCACCAGGCTCTGCTTCCTCCCGGCAGCCAGGTGCACGAGGACCGAGACGCCCCCTCTGCCCTCGGCAGCGCCCAGCTGACCTTTCCTAATGGCCATTCTCCACACTGTCACAGTCCACCACTGAGAACTCAGACATGTCCCGCCTGCCTGAGCCACATTTCAGTTGGATCAGAACCATCTTCGCGCTGTCAAGAGTCCCCTGGGTGGTTCTGAGGCTCAGGGAGGAGAAACTCAGCTTCCCAACCCCGACTTCCTTGAAGCCTCCCATTCTGAAGTAAGTGCTGGGGGTGTCTCACAGCTTCTTGAATTCAGAAAGCTATGGCATATGGAGGCGGAGTCTCTGCCTCTGAATTAAAGGGTTAAAAAGAATAAAGCACCCAGATTTCATTAAAAAAAATTTATTTTCATATAAAAGTGCCAAAATATCCGCCAATGTCATAGTCTATCTCAACAACCAGTTTACACTAGAAACCAAAACACAAGCCTCTTTATTCACATTGCTTAAAAATCCAATTCTTTCACACATTCCCACAGTAGCTGGAGTCTCTGGACAGTGGGAAGTTGGCATTGCGGTTCGCTGTTGTAGTCCATATGTCCAGGTTCATGTAGGCACGGAAGGGGTTGAACCCTGGGTAGTACTCCTTGCACACCACCGCCTGGCTTTCCATGTGGGTGGAGTGCTCAGAGCTGGGACTGATGGGGTAGCAGTTCTCATACATATCATTTTGCGGGGCCCAGATGGAACCAAAAAGTCCAGACATTGGAGACAAGCTTCGGGTGCTGGTGAGGTAGGGCTTAAGTGCAAATGGAGAAAGAAAATTCCAGAAGAAATTAGAAATGGCAAGGCATCAACGCAAGTCACGAACTATTTGCAACAATCAGGGTTGCTTTAACTCCAATTTTCTCAAAGAGGACTGCAAGAGTCTGGCCTTGCGGTCCGATGCAGTGGCTGCACCCTGCTCCGAAAGGCTTGACCTGCCCACTTGCATCCAGGAGACCATGAGGAACCCCCCAAGCAGCCCCACCAGCCGCCAACTTGGCCACGCAACCCCCCCGCCACACACCGCCTCTGGCCTCTTGGCTGTGCAGCTGCCTGGTTCCACACTACAGAGGCACAGGGGGACATAAAGGCCACTGTCTTGAGCTCCAGAAGTGAACAACAGAGAGAGGCCCTCTCTCAGGCTCCCTGATGAAAACTGAAGCCCACTGGAAAAGTGAAGAGAATCTCTGCAATAAAGGCACACCAGACCACCATACTTGGTAAGCTGGAGGGATCATCACTTCCCATTTGAAACTGGACTATCTTCAGGGGAAAGACAGCTGGAAACTGTGATAGACCCTTGCAGAGTTCAACCCTGCAGGACGACAGGGAGCTCAGTTTGGGACTTGCAGCCAGAAATCTGCCTGAATCTCACGGGTCTGTGACTGGCTTACTAAGACTCATGGACTTATAACTGACAGTACCAAAAACAAAAATGAGAAGACATTTCAGCAAGTCACAAACTCAGACTTCCACCCCACAAAAGGGAAATTCTGGGGGAAATGAGGTGGAAAAGTCTGATAATCAACCACCTGGACACCCTGTACTGATAGCACAGGAGGTAACAAAACAGATGAATGAGGCTCTAGAAAAATTCAAAACAGAAATAATCCCCCAGATAACTACAGAGATGGTGAGCAGGGTGAAAGACATAATTAGAGGCTCTGGAACAGAAACAGATAAAAAAATAGATGAGCTCAGGACCATGCTGGAAGCCATGAATACCGAGCTTAAGAAAGAAATGAAAACCATGAAACTGATTCAAACAGATATTCAGGAGATTAAAAACTCCACTGAAAGCATGCATAGCAGATTAAGGGAATCTGAAGATAGAATATCAGATATAGAAGACAGGATTGCAGTTAAGGACCACGAAAACAGATTTCTTAAAAATAGTAAGGGACCACAAGAAATCAATCCAGCAGCTGCTAGATGATGCAAAGAAGAATAACAGAAGACTGATAAGAGGCCACGAAAAAACAGGAGAAAGTAAAATTGACATTAAAAAAAATGTTCACAGAAGTAATAGTAGAAAACTTCCCAGACAGAGGTGGGGAATTGGACATACAGATAAGTGAGGTATATAGAACTCCAACTAGCCATGATAAAAAAAAAAAATCTACACCTAGACACATAATAATTAAGAGCCGAGAAATCCAACAGAAGAACAAAATCTTACAGGCAGTTAGAGAAAAGAAGCAAATCACCTATAAAGGAAAGCCCATCAGAATCGTGCCAGATTTTTCAACACAAACCCTCAAATCAAGGAGAGCCTGGAGTCAAGTACTTCAAGCCCTAAAAGAAAATAACTTCCAACCTAGACTGTTGTATCCTGCAAAATTATCTTTCAAAATCAATGGGGAAATTAGATACTTTCATGACAAAGAACACCCGAGAAATTTCATGAACCTCAAGCCAGCACTCCAAACAATTCTAAGCAATATCCTAGAAAAAGACAATAAAGATCACAACTCCATAAGGCCCAACAGAGGGAAGCCACCAGGCAAGGTAAAAAACTAAAGGGAAAGGGAAAGGGGAAAAAAACAACAACAACAAGAAATAAAAGAGCCAACAATAGTAAAACATCATGACAAGGATGAGTCAATATCTCTCAATTATAACCATCAATGTTTTTGTTTCTGTTTT